GAATTACAGCAGACTTTTCAACACAAACCCTCAGGTCAAGGAGAGCCTGGAGTGAGGTATTTCAAGTTCTAACAAAAAAACAACCTCCAACCTAGACTGTGTATCCTGCAAAGCTCTCTTTCAAAATGGGTGGGGAAATAAGATAGTTCCATGACAAAGAGCACCTGAGAAACTTCATGAATACCAAACCAGCACTACAAGGAATTCGAAACAATATCCTAGAAAAAGACAATGAAAGTCACAACACCATGAGGCCCAACAGAGTAAATCAATTAGGCAAGGCAGGAAACTAAAGGGGGGGGGAATTAAAAAGAGCCAACAGCAGGACAATAACATGGCAATGATAAGTGAGTACATATCAGTTATAACCATCAATGTCAATGGCTTCAATTCACGAATCAAAAGAAACAGACTGGCAAAATGGATTTAGAAGCAAAATTCAACAACATGCCATATACAAGAAACCAGGTTAATTCACAAAGAAATTCATAGACTGAAAGTAAAAGGATAAAAAAAAACAGTTTTCCATGTGACAGGAACCCAGAAAAAAAGCAGGAGTAGCTATCTTACTTCCAGACAAAATAGTTATCAAATGAAAACTAATTAAGAGAGATAAAGAAGTCTACTGTATCCTTGTAAAGGGAATAATTCAAAAGGAAGAGATAACAATCATAAGTATAGAGGCACCAAATTCTAATGCACCCAACTACACAAAACAATTATTAATGGACATGAAAAATGAAAGAAGCACTAATACAATTGTAGTGGGGAACATGAATACTCCACTGTCACAAATAGATCATCTAGACAAAAAAATCAACAAAGAAATAACAGAACTGAACCAAGTCTTTGAAAAAATGGACTTAATAGATGCCTACAGAGTGTTCCACACCACAAAACCAGAATATACATTCTTTTCAGCTGCACACAGGTCATTCTGCAAAATAGATCGCATGGTGGCTCATAGAGCATGTTTAAGTAAGTGCAAAGGAATTGAAGTTGTGCCCTGTATATTAACAGATCTTTGTGCAATTAAACTAGAGATCGATAGCATAAGAAACTGCAAGGACTTCACAAACACATGGAAATTAAATAACATTCTCCTGAACAACAATTGGGTCACAGAGGAAATTAAAGAAGAAATTAGACATTTTCTATAATTAAATGATAATGCCAATACAACATATAGGAATCTATGGGACACAATGAAAGCAGTTCTATGAGGGAAATTCATAGCAGTGAATACTCATACTAGAAAAAAGAGTGAGCTCAAATAAACAACCTAATGATGAATCTTAAACTCCTAGATAGAATAAGAGCAAGACAAACTCAAAGCTTACACTAGGGAGGAAATTATAAAGCTCAGAGCAGAAAACAATGCAATGCAGACTAAGAGAACAATACAAAAAATTCAATGGAGTGAAGAGTTGGTTTTTGTTTGTTTTTGTTGTTGGTGGTGGTGGTGGTACCAGGGATTGTACTCAAAGAGTTGTTTTTTTAAAATAATAAATAAAATTGATAAAACCTTAGCTAACTTTATTTTAAAAGGGAAAGAAAAGGCTCAAATCCGTACAGTTAGGAAGAAAGAAGGTGAAGTGACAACAGTTCCCACAGAAATTTAGAGGATCATCAATACCTACCTTGAGAGCCCATTCTCTAATAAAATGGAAAACACAGAAGAAATGGACAGATTTCTAGATACATATGAATTACCAAAGTTTATAAAAGAAGATAAAAAAAATTCTAAACACCCCAGTTACAATCAGTGAAGTTGAAAACATAATTAAAAATTTACCAACAAAGAAAAGCCCAGGTCCTGATGGCTTCACTGATGAATTCTACAAGACATTTAAAGAAGAAGTATTGCCACTGCTCTTTAAACTCTTCAATGAAATTGAAAGGGAAGCAATACTTCCAAATTCATTCCTGGAAACAAATGTTACTTTGATTCCAAAACCAGGGAAAGACCCAACCAAAAAAGTGAAATATAGGCCAACCTCCCTAATGAACATAGATGCAAAAATCCTCAATAAGATACAGGCAAACAGAATACAGAAAGATCATCAAGAAGATCATACACCCTGTTCAAGTCAGATTTATCCCAGGGATGCAAGATGGTTCAACATATGTAAATCAATAAATGTAATACACCATATTAACAGAATTAAGCACAAAAACCATCTGATCATCTCAATAGATGCAGAAAAAAGCATTCAACAAACTTCATCAACCATTCATGAGAAAAATCCTACAGAAAATTGGAATAGTTAGTCTTTATCTTAACTTGATAAAGTCTATCCATGAAAAACCAACAGCCAACATCATATTAAATGGTCAAAAACTGAAAACCTTCATGCTAAAATCAGGAACAAGACAAGGATGCCCACTATCACCACTTCTGTTCATTATAATTCTGGAAACATTAGCCACAGCAATTAGACAAGAGAAAGAAATGAAAGAATGGGCTGGGGATTTAGCTCAGTGGTTCCATCACCTGCCTTGCAAACGCAAGGAACCTGAGTTCAATCCCCAGTACCAAAATAAATAAAAAATAAAAGGAATAATGAAAGGAAAGGAAGAAGTTAAACTGTCATTATTTGCTGATGATATGATACTCAACAGAAGACCTAAAAAGCTCTGCCAGAAGCCTTCTAAATTTAATTGACAGATTCAGTCAAGAATCTAGATACAAAGTCAACACTCAAAAACAATTAGCCTTCTCATACATAAATAACATACTCACTGAGAGAAATTAGTGAAACAATTCCTTTCACAATAGCATCCAAAAAATGAAATATCTAGGAACCAATTCACTGAAGGAGACAAAAGACCTCTGCACTGAAAACTACAGCACTCTGACAAAAAGAGATAGAAGAGCATATAAGCAAATGGAAAGACATCTCTTGTTCCTGGGTAGGTAGAACAAACACAGTGAAAATAGCCATACTTCCAAAACTGCTGTACAGATTCAACACAATCCCACCTGAAATTCTAACATTATATTTCACAGAACTTGAGAAAACAATCCAAAGATTCCTTTGGAAGCAGAAGAGACCTAGAATAGCAAAAGCCTTTCTAGGCAACAGAGACATGACAGGGATTATCACAATCCCTGACTTGAAAGTATACTACAAAGCCACTGTGATGAAAACAGCATGTACTGGCAAAGAAACAGACCCAAGGATCAGTGGAATAGATTAGAAGATGCAGAAACAACTCCACACATACTCAGTTACCTCATCTTCAGCAAAGGAGCCAAACATCCTCACTGGAGGAAAGATAGCCCCTTTAATAAATAGTGTTGGAAAAACTGGCTTTCAACTTGCCAAAGATTAAAACTAGACCCATATCTTTCACCATGCACTAAGATAAAATCCAAGTGGATTAAAGATGTCAATATCAAAACATAAACACTAAACTTTCTGGAAGAAACTAAACTTTCTTGAAGACATTGGCATAGGAAAAAGCTTTATGAACAAGTCCTCAGTAGTATGGGAACTTGCACAAAGAATAACCAACTGGGATCTCATCCTATTAAAAAACACTTGCAGAAGCACTGCAAGAGATACCACCACAGAGATAAGAGACAAACTACAATGTAGGAAAAATTTTTCACCAGCTGTTCCTCAGGCAAAGGTCTATTATCTAGAATATATGAAGAGCTCAAAAATATCGGACCCTCAAATTTAAAGACTTCATTCAAAAATGGGCAGGGACAAGGGGAAAAAATGAGAACAAAGACTTGTCATGTAGAGGTACAAGATCCCAACAATGAATGTAACTGTACTGTATCCCTAAAATGTACCAATAAACTCAATTAAAGCTGAAAAAAATGGGCATCTGAAATGAACATTTCTCAGACAAACAAGTAAAAGCAGGAAATAAATATATGAAAAATGTTCAACATCACTGGCCATTTGAAAGATGCAGATGAAAACAACACTAAAATTCCACCTCACCCAAGACAGAATGGCTGCTATCAAGAATTCAACCAAAAGTGAAATAAACAAGTCACACGTGAAAAACTATAACTGTAAATAAGATCCTAATGGTATAATTGACAATGTGAAATAGGAAGAAAAGGGCTAAAGGTGTAGGGGAAGTGGGAAGGGTAGAGGAAAGGAAATAAGGGAAAAGAAAAAAAATATGAGATAATGGAAATAAAGTTTTTGTAAATAGGGAAGGGAGGAGGGGGTGAAGGGAGGGCAGGGAAAAAAATGAGAACCAAGACCTGTCATGTAAAAGTACAATATCCCAATGTAGAATGTAACTGTACTGTATACTTAAAAAGTAACAATAAACTCAATGGATGCACACTCAGGCCATCTTTTAAGTGAAATAAATAGGACACACTTGAGTACAGTGTAAAAAACTAAAAGTGTAAATAAGGTTCAAATGGTATAAGTAATAATGTGAAACAGAAAGAAAAGGTCTAAAGGAGAAGAGGAAGTGGAAAGGTTAGGTGAAAGGAAATAAGGGAAAAGAAAAATATGAAAAAAGGAAAATGGAAACAAAGTCATTGTAAATAGGGAAGGGTGAAGGTGATGAAGTGAGGGTAGGGGGATGGGGAAAAAATAAGCACCAAGATGTACTACTACTAGTATAGTAATTATATACTAGATGGCCTGTGCCTGTGGTTGGTTTTGCATCCTCTATTCATTGATCCATGAGATAAGTTTGTCTGCCCACCCTTGATCTGTCTTACTCAAAGTCTGAGGACATGGACAGCAGGAGACACATTTTTCCCAGAATGTAACATGCACAGCCTCTAGCCCAATTTCCAACAGAGATCCTTCAGAGAAAATGGTTTCTCAGGATAGCATATCTGCATTTATTTCGGGGCAACACGAGTGCACACAGCAAGCAGAGCATGGGGGACTCAGCATTGCAGCCACAGGAGGGTGTGTAGGGAATTGTGTTGGTGTGGAGAGGAACCTGCATCCTAGAGCTCTGAGCTGAAGGGACATGGGAAGAGGTACAAGTCAAGGGCTGCACTGGCCAGGACACACCAGCTGAGGCTCTTGGTCTCCAGGGTCTTCTCACCGCTGGGTCACTTCACCTGAAGGCGACAGAGGCAGAGTGAATGGCCATCCCAGTGAGAACAAAGTTGGGGGCCACAAGGTCCCAAGTAGCCCAGGATCACTGTGCAGCCCAGGCTCCTCCCCTATTCCCAGCACCTGTCTCCACCAGAGTCATCTACCTTGAACAGGGTGACTGTAGTGCTATAGAACAGGCTCAGCGGGAAGAGCACGATGAAGGTGGACGCAGTGGTCCACAGGTTCTCGAAGCCCTCTTCTTTGGCGTTCGCCTCCCCCTCTGCAGGGGACACAGGAGGGAGGCTTGGCAGTGCCTGCAGCCTACCTGGGGCTGGGAGCACAGGATGGAGGACAGCCAAGGCTGGGGTGGACGCAGGCAGTCAGGCCAAGCAGAAGCAGACAGGGACAGAAAGTCTTGCCTGAGTGGTAGAAAGGGCAGGGTAGTCATGGCGCATTGACATGAGAGAGGGCAGAGGCAGGGACCCAAGGGACTGGGCTTCCAGTGAGTCCTGGACCCTCCTTGAGCAAGGGGCACAGCCAGAGCCACTTGGCTAAGAAGCAGGGGTGGTGTGGAGCGTGCAGGGTAAAGTAAGAGCCAGGCTGCTCCTGATCACCTCCCCAGGGACTCTGATAATAGGAACAGAGCCCAGAGTACATCCTGTTGGATGGCCCTGCCCTAACAAAGTGACAGAGGCCTGAAGATGTCTTAGCTGATCCTGTACCACCAAAGTGATAGAGGCTGGGATATTCTAGTTGGTCCTGTCTTACCATAGTGACAGAGGCCTGGAATGCCCTGGCTGGCAGTTCCTGCCCTACCAGTGATAGAGCCCTGGAATGGGGGCAGAGGAAGCTCTGGGTGATAGTGGGATGCAGCTGCCAGGGAACATCTGCAGCTCAGAGGAGACAATAAGAGCAACCCTAGGCCAGCACCATTCCTTGGGTATGGGGACCTTGCTCAACCCTGTCCTCCCTGTGTGGGCTCTGCCTCCCTGCAAAGTTATGCTCTGTTCTCTGTGCCACAAATGTGCCTGCACGGCCACTGTGCTAGTGACCTGCTCCTAGAGGGGCGGCCCCCTACTGCAGGCCAGGTCTGAAAACAGCATCCCTGCAACTCTTATATGACCCTGCTGTGTTCAGTGTGAGTTCTAGGCACCAGCTATTCTCCTCCAGGGCACCCCCAGGCTCAGGCTAACCTCCCTGAAAAGCTGTAGCAACCTTGCTGCTCTGAGCTCTGGCTCTGGGCCTACAGTTGACACCACAGTCAGAGTCCAGGCCAGGCTGGGCCATGAGGTTACTGCTTGCCAAGACAGACAAACAGAATATGGGACAAGCCCTGAGACAGCATGGTGTAGGGAGCCACTGCTGAGACCAGAGATACACATCTCTGGCATGCATGTGTGAGCACACTTGTGTATCTGCCTAGCTGCTGAGTCTGCCAGGGGTCCACCTGCTCCCATGCACTCCTGTGCTCCGAAACATGTGTCTTTGTGTCTAGTGCATATATATGCATAGCCTTTATATCTGTGTCTTGTGTCTCTTGTTCATCTGGATGTAGGTGGACATGCAACCGAGCATATCTGTGAGTAACCATGTGCATGTATGCCTGTTTGTGTGTGTTTGCATGGTGTGTGTGTGAGTTCATGTGCATCTGTGTGTTCACATTTGCCACAGCTGCACATGTTTGCACATCCCCACACAGGTGTGTGTCAGTGTTAGCACACTCATGAGTATGAATGAGTGCTGCCTGTACCAGTGTGGCTGAGTCTTTGGCTATATGTCAGAAGCGCCTGCAGGGTCCAAAAGCTGGCATGTTATCTGCAAAGAGCCAGAGCATCCTCAGAAGCCTGAAGGACACGGGCCAGGGAAGGGATGGGCCAGGTGGAGGACTTTACTCTAGTTAAGCAGGACAGAGCATTGCACACTAAAAACCAGCATCTTCTGAGGGGATCTTTTTATTTCTAATTTTAGGAAATGCAACACTGCACACCCGAAATGGTTAGTTTGCACACAAATAACAGAGCAACTGAACCACAGCGCCTGGGCTAGCTGGGCAGCATGGTCAGTAGCAGGTGCGGGCCGTGTCAGACATGATCAGGGACACGTTGTACAGGGTGGGTTTACCAGTGGACTTGTCCACGGTCCTCTCAGTCACCATGTGGGGCAGGGCCTCGTGGCCCACGACACAGGTGAAGGTCTCTCCTGAGCTCCAGTCCTCCTCTGTCACTGTCAGCAGGCTGTGGGCATAGTAGAAACCTGGAGACTGGGTCTCAGGCATCGGGGCGCTGGTCACATACCTGTCTGAGGACAAGGTCTGCCCACTCTGTAGCCACTGCACAAAGAAGTCTGCAGGTGCAAAGCCCTTCACCAGGCAGAAGACAGTGGCCTGTTCGTGCAGGACCAGCTGTTCCCGGGCTGGGGGCAGCACATACACGGCAGGTGGGTGCTTGGCTTGCTCTGTGGGCAGAGAGGAGATGGTGAGCACAGGGCAAGTGGGGGACAGGTGGGGTCCTGGGAGTGAGCGGGGTGGGGGCTGGGCCTACCTGTGTGCTTGGAGATGGTCTTCTTCATTGGGAAGGGCAGGTCCTGGTGGATCACAGTGCACATGAATGCCTTCCTAGAGTCCCACTCTTCCACACAGGCACTGGCCTCACCCATGACACTGAGGGTGCCGTTAGGTTGGCTCACAGGATCTGTGATTTTGGTTAGCAGGTCCTTGCCATCCTGGTTGGCCCAGGAGATATTCAGTCCTCCACGGTGGGTCAGGCCAGTGTGACCAGGCAGGTCAGCTTGGCAGACTTGTTTAGGAAGGTGCCAGCAAGAGGGTGGGATGAGGAAGACTTCGATGTCTGTGGATGGAGTTGCTGTGGGGAGAACACTGCTGTGAGTGATGGTTGGATGTGAAGTCAGGAAAGGTGTAGAGCCTAGGACCAGCCCTGCCCCAGGTGCTGCTTGGTGCCACCTGACCTGTGTCCCCACTGCTCCCTGTCCTGTCCTTGGTATCTCCAGAAAGCCACAGCTCAGCAGCAGGTGGCAAGGTCTGGGGGGCATCCATTCCACCCAAGTGGACACCTGAGTGGACACCTTGGACTGAAGGATGGTCTGGGCAGGGGATGAGCACTCACTGGGGATACACACGGAGGAGGACACATTCTTCTTGAAGGTGCCTGACTTGTGGTCCATGCGGCAGGTGAACACCTTCTGGGCCAGCCAGTCGACCTCGGGGATGGTCAGTGTGCTGGTAACCTTGAAGGTCAGGGGCTGGGAGACTGTGTTCTCAGCCAACATCTGGTCTGTGATGAAGCCAGACCCCACAGGCTTTCTATCCTATAACCAGGACACTGTGATCTGCTTGGGGCTGAAGCCCATGGCCTGGCAGGTGAGTTTGGATTCTCCAGAGTCGAGGAAGGTGTCTCGGGGCGGCGGGACAAACACGGTCACATTGGGAGCCTGCTCCATGATCACTGGGGCAAGGAGACTGTTAAGACTTGAATAAGCTAAAGTGACTCCATGCTAATAGGCCAAACTGTGCTTCTTCATATGCTAATTGCTACCCTGGTTAACAACCTGCCCAGGGGCAAATGGTAAGACAAAAGGTTACCTAGAACATTTCCTGCATAAGATAAGCAATGTGTTTGCAATCTTCTTCTGTGAATTCCCTGACTCTTTATTTAGAAAAACCTTATAAAAAGTACCTCAGCCCCTGAGCAGTTGCCTCTCTGAACTACCTGGCTCCAGGAATGCCGTCTGGCCAGACTAATAAAGGTCTACTTACCATCTAGCTTGGTGTGTTCCCACCTGGGTTTCTCGTTTCTCTATGGAGCTCCCAGAGCCTTGCTGGGTGTTAGGGCCCAGCATCGTGGAGGCCTTTTTGCCTGTTCACAGCTTCTGGAAGTAAGGCCCTGGGTCTTGCCTCTGGAGCTATCATTGAGCTAGAGGACTCAGCATCGTGAAGGCCCTTTCGGCTGTTCATGCTCTGTGGAGTGGAAGTAAGACTTTAAGTCTTACAGAGACAAGGTGTGAGCCCATCCCAACCAAAGTCCTTCCAGGCTGAGGAGGCAGCCTGACATCTGGGCAGGCAGGAGGGGTGTGCAGGGAGGGACTGCTCACCTGTGTTCCTAGTGGTGGTGTCTCTGGTGGCCACAGTGGAGCCTCTCTCTGCTCCAGGTGTGACAGGTCTTGGGGAGTTCTGAGCAGTCCAGGAATCTTGAACCAGAGGACCAGTGGGCGGGTGAGAGAGAGAAAGCAGAGTGGACAGGGTGACAGGGGATAGCCAGGCTGAGGACAGAAGGTCCCTGCATGGAGAGGGCTGGGGTTCATGCTTGGCAGCATCTGTGCTGAGCCAGTGGCCTCTTGCATACTGCAAGGATCTGGGGGGACAATGTCAGCAGGGCTCTGAGGGGACAGAGGACAGTAAAGCATGGGGTGTTGGTGCAGGGAAGGGCTGGAGCTGGCCCCTATCCATGGACCACCCTGGGGAAGGTGTGGGACCTCCTGCGGGTCTTTGTGGGGTCCCGGGCCACATACCTGGTTGCTGGAATGTCTTCTTCGAGCTCCACTTGTCGAGAGGTACTGCATTCGTGGGGGCGAAGATTCAACTCAGCCATCGGAAAGGAGAGCTGGCTGCTCATGGTGTAAACACCATTCTGGACAGTGGGGAAGGTCTGCTGGGACTTCGTCCTCACCCCTGAGTGCCAAGTGACCTGTATGTTTGCACCATACCCAGATGCTAAGCAGACTAGGTATACGCGGTCATTTTCCCCTGGTGGTCTGCATGTCGAACTGATGAAATTGTGCAGATCCTGTTGGGTGGCTGCAAGACAGATAGTGGGTGCTGAGGACACCAGCCTGGCATCTGCGACGGGATGAGAAGAGGGTCCCAGGGTGGGGGATTGATAGGGCCTTTCCAGCCCCAGGACCACATGACAGAGTCTCAGGCAAACCCTGTCTCTGTGGGTTCTGGGAGGAGGGGTCGTCCTTCCAGAGGCTGTGATATCCTCAGTGTCCCTGAGCTTTGCATCTTCTGCACCCCTCTCTCTTTGATCCACTCCTGGCATCCCAGGTCTGGTTTCGTTCGACTTTGACCTCCAGCAGCCACTCTTGCTGCCCTCAGGGCACAGTGTCCTGTGTCCGCAGTGAATGCAAGACTGTCCTGGGCACAGGCCACAGAAGAGGGTGCAATTCTACCCGCTCCCCAGCCTGGCCCCAGGTGCTGCTGTCCTTTGGCTGTCCCTCCTGGACACAGTACTGGCTCCTTGGTATGGCTCCTACAAAGCTTGGGGTCTAGAAAGGGGGGTTGACCATGGGCTGCAGGTCCTTGCCTAGTCCCTGATGGCTTTACTTCATCCGCCTCTTGCCTGCCTCCACCCTTGTTACCCCTAGGAACTGTCACTGCCCTCTCTCAGGCAGGGCTCCTGTATCCAGCCTGGCCCAGATCAGCAGCTGTTCTGTGGCCTCTGGGACAGAACCTGCTTCTTTCTTTTCCACCCTCAAGGGAGTGCTGCCCTCCCAGGCATCTCTTGCCTGAGTTCTGCATCAGGACCTTCATCTCCACATGTTCAGCTGCCTCTGCTCCAGAGGGTCCCTGATTCCCTCCCAAGCCACTTCTCAGTCTCACTGGGCTGCTCTTGCTACCCTAGGTTCTGGGCTGTGAGTCCTCCAATCCCACTCCAGGTGCTAATGGAGGATGTGGCAAGGCTATCGCTGTGGGACAAATCGTGGCTCCTAGGATTCAGGGGTGCAATCAAATTCCCAGGACCTCAGTGCAGCAGTGTTGGGCACACAGTGTCTGACATAAAGCACTGGGACAGAGTTCACACTGGAATGGGGTAGGTATATGACCTAATAGCACTGGGATCCTTATGAAAAGGGTTATGGGGACATGGACATGCATGTAGGGACAATGTCAGGACAGTGATACAGGGAGTAGTGTGGCTTCCCAGAGCCAAGGAGCAGCAGACTGAGACTTCCAGCAGAGCAAGAGAGGGTCCTGGAACAGGTTCTCCCCAAAGCAAGGGAAACCCAGTCTGCCAGGCCCCATCTGGGATTCCTGGCCTCCAGATGGGGAAATCAGGCCTCTGCAGACACAATGCCCATCTCTACCTGGTCCCTGCAGCCTGATCTCACAAGCACAGGTCACCTCTCACACTCCCATGCCTGCTCAGTCCCCCGCTGTGCCGAGCTGTTTGGCCTTTGGTCACCCCAAGCCTCGTGTGATGTGATGAGCTCCATTTAACTCAGGTGTAGTATCCCCTCAAGGCTCCAGCTTGAGGGAGGAAGTTTCCCTGGAGCCCACTGAGCATGGCCAGTTCTCCCACACTCACACCCTTAGGGTCAGGTTGATGCTCAAAGGTGAAGAGGTCAGACTGAGCCTGGTCCTATCCTCTTGGGTGCCCATTTAGTAGAGGGACTGACATGCACCTAGAGGCCCTGAACACACCCATGACAGCCACCCAGGGTGGGTTCCTGCTGTAATTCAAGCCTGGTGTTGCCTGTACCTGAGTTCCCAGCACAAAGAACTGGCCCTCACTATGCATGGTACCATCATGCATGCTTCCTGCACACCCTGGCTGGCCACCTGCACCCTCCTGCTTTCCTCAGGGCTTATTTCTAGGAGTTCAGCCTGGGTACCCACTACCTCCTCTCACCCTTCATTCCTGCCCTCTCCCCATTCCCTGTGTGCTGCCAGCACCTCTGGCTGCAGTGAAGCCTCTGCGCTATTGCGACCAGCACTGGGGCCTGGGTATTGGCATATATCTCAAACCCCGAGGAAGCTGTCCCCCTGTCCCCTCAGCTTTTCTGTCCCTTACCTCACCTTCCCACCTGTGCCTTAACCTAGCCCAACCTTCACTCTCTTGCATGGCAGGCTGACCTCTGAAAGTTGGTAGAGAGAGGGCAGGAGAGATGACTGTAGGGCCAAGAGGAGTCAAGGGCTCAGGTGAGACCCTAAGCTCACCAAGGAAGTGGTTAGGGTAGAGAGGGCCCCAGGGACTCCAGCAAAATGTGGGCGCAGTACAGCATGTGACATGGGCCTCCCTCTATTCCCCTGGGCCCCAGGGTACACTTCACCCACCCCCATCTCCACACCCACACAGGCGGCCTCTAGATCTGACACGGAAACCCCCAGAAAAAGGGAACTTCGGGAAGCGGCAGTGCCACCTATTTTCAATCCTGTTCTTAGTCTCTGAGGGGCTGGGGGTGGGGAGGCTTCCATAGCCCTGGGGACAGATGCTGTGACACCTAGGTGGACAAAACAGAGCTGAGCTGTGACAGCACAGGGCTGGTGCGGGGGACTTGGAAGCCACCATGACTACCAAAAGGTGAGTGGACTGGGCAGGGACAGAAGTGTAGGGGACAGGGACACTTCATCTTGCATAGCCAAGGCCACAGGAAGGCAGATTGCACAGAGACCTCCCCACAGAGGGTCCAGACCTCGCTGGGGACATCTGCCCAGAGTCACCAAGCCCATGTGGGAGGGATGGGGGCCCAAGGCATGGATATAGCCAGGCCACCTGAGTGAAATACACCAGGGACTGACAAGTATATGACAAGAGGGGCAGCGGGACAGCAGAAGAGAGATGAGGGCTGACGTGGTGGTGACACAAGCAGATGGCAGGGCAGAGTGGAGGAAGCTCGAGAAGAAGTAAAGAAAACTTCCAGAAATAGGTCAGGGCTTCACATGGTGGAAGAAAACCCTCAGCTGGGTAGAATCTCACCAGTAGAACCTCACCGGTAGAACCTTGGGGTTCAAGAACAAACGCAGTGCTAGAAAAAGACTAGGCTCAGCACAGAGGCACAACAGAGCTCAGAGAGGCAGTGAGGACCATGACACCCCAGGAGTTCAGGGACCAGGGCAGAGAAACCACAGCTGAGCTCGGTGAGGTGGATACAAGAGCCAGGACAACCACAGGAGCTCATTGGACCAGGACAAAGCATATGCCCGTGACTTATAGCAGGTAGGTGCCAGAAGGGTCAGGACAGCTCCAGGAGCTCAGGGGACCAGGGCAGAGCAGTGATAGGTAAACTGGGACAAGAGGATGTTGAAGAGGCCAGAGCAGCCCCAAGAGCTCAGGGGACTCTGCCAGGGCAGCTGCTGGCAAACTGGGGTGGTTGCATATGGAAGAGACCAGAGCAGCCCAAAGACCTCAAGGAACCAGAGCAGAGTGGATACAGATGAGCATGGGCCAGTGGGTTCTGGAGAGACCAAGGCAGCCCCAGGAGCTCAGAGGACCATGGCAGAGCAGCTGCCAGTAAGCTAGGGTGAGTGGGTGCTGGAGGAACCAGGATAGCCCAGAAGTTCAGGGGACTTAGGCAGAGCAGGTACAGGTGAGCAGGGGCATGTGGGTGGTAGAGGAATCAGGGTAGCTCCAGGAGCTCAGGGGACCAGGACAGAACAGTTGCCGGTGAGAAGGGAGAGGTCGGTGCTGGAGGGGACATGGAAGCTCCAGGAGTTCAGGGGACCAGGGCAGAACATCTGCAGTTGAGTGGGCACAGGTGGGTGCT